GCAGGCGGGGAGCGGGGAGGTGGCGGGCGAGCCCGGCGGCGGCAGCAAAGCGCACAGGCCCAGGGGCGCGGCCTGCGCTAAGGCCTAGCCGCCTCCATTGTCCTACCCCCACCCCCGCGCCGCTGGTCCAGCGCTAGCACCTCGCTCACCTGTGCGGGTCCCTGCGCCGTACAGCGGGCTCGGGCCCGGCTGAGGGTCGGCGGGCCGCAGGGGCCTTGCATTCGGGGCCGCCAGGTCCGCGGCCTGCACGCGCACAGGCCCAGGGGCGCGGCCTGCGCTAAGGCCTAGCCGCCTCCATTGTCCTACCCCCACCCCCGCGCCGCTGGTCCAGCGCTAGCACCTCGCTCACCTGTGCGGGTCCCTGCGCCGTACAGCGGGCTCGGGCCCGGCTGAGGGTCGGCGGGCCGCAGGGGCCTTGCATTCGGGGCCGCCAGGTCCGCGGCCTGCACCAATCACAGGCTGGGCTAGGAATCGGGGCGCGAGCGCGCGCGGCCTTCTCCCCCTCCCCCACCAGCCTCGCGTCACTGAGCGCCGGAGCGTGCCCCAGAGATGGGAGCATGCGCAGAACCGCCGCTGGGGTCGCTGCCCTTACTGTGCTCTCAAACGTGCCCTGAGAGCAAAGCGGGGCTGGGGGAGACACCCCAGTTGTGCGCGGCAACTGGAAGGCTGCATGCGACAGACAGTATTGCAATATGAAATAGTCAAAGGCTAGCGTAGCAATTTGTGCAAATATGTTTATGGGGAGGGGTGGGGAACCTCACACCCGGAGGGCCAGATGCGGCTCCTGGCTTTGTTGGATTCAGCCCCAGAGGCTCAGGACCCACCCCAGTACTGAGGAGTCCACACAGTGCTCCAGCGCCTCTGCTGCCCCACAGCTGGGCTGGAGCACACACAATCTAGCCTGGGCCCCACTAGGCTTTGGTGTGTGAGAGGAATGTGGTGGAGTGTCTTTCTGCTTCTCAGTTGGGGGCCATGTTAGTGAGGGTTTTCTCCCCATGACTTGTGGATAGGTGTTTACTGAGGGAAGTAAAATCTTGTAGGTGGAGGGATTATCAGTGTTCATTTTTAGGTAGGTAGCTAATCTGAAATAGCCTTGGCCCATGGAGGAAATGGCATTTACTTGCTTAACCTGATAAACAACTGAAAATTGGGATATAGGGAGAGAGCTTACACTGAAGAACTGACATGTAACTGACCAAGAGAGAGAGACCCTGTGTTAAGCACCCTTGTCCCTATCCATGTGGAAGATAGTTTACCAGCAGGACTGCTGGGTGCTCAACTAACTCAGACACAATGACTTAAGCCTTGTCTACACTATAAAGTTTTGTTGCCCAAAACTGCCTTTTGGAAACTGGAGCATGCATGTACCAATGTGACACTTGTTGAGAAAAATACCCAGTTTCAGAGAAAAACAATCTTTCACACATACAACATACTTTTTTTCTTTTCCCCTCCCTTTATTGTTGACAAAAAGCTAGGACAGACTCCTTTTGCAGTTCCTTTTATCCACTGAAATGGCTTCTACCAGTATCCCACAATGACTGCTCTGATGACTCTGCTCAGTGTTTTGATCTCTATTGTCCTACAGGCATGTGGTCCTCTCCCCCTTTTAAGGCTCCTGAAAGTACCTGACAACTGAGTGTGCTGTTTCCTTTGGAGAACAAACAAAAAGCAAATAGTTGGAATGCCCCTGCACTGGTGCACAGCAGTAGGCAGACTGCTATGCTGCTTTGACATTTCTATGGATGGAGAGCTCACAGAGCTACTCATGATGCTGCTCCTGGCAGCTAAGGAGGCTGTGGGAATCCCAGAATGTGCAGTGATCAGCTCTGACTTGCTCACTGTGCATTGTTCACACTGTCAGTAATAGTGACCCCAATGTGGACATGATCTGTCAACATGTGTGAACACCTGGTGATCTTTATTTTGTGAACTTTGCATGTTGACACAAGTCTTGCAGACAAAACTTGGTAGTGTAGACAAGGCCTTAGTTCGGCACCTTTGTCTGTCAGGCACAGACAGTGATCACAATGAAATGTGAGAGGAAATTTCTGTCCAAATCCCCAACCTAGAAGAAGAGAATTAAGGGACTATCTATAGGTAGAGGGAGGGAATGACAGGTACACTTATCTCAAACTCTGATAATTTAAAAATACCTTATGATGATTAAGCTTAATACTATTTAAGACAAAAGTTACACCTACTTAACTAAAATCAGTTTTTAAGCCAATTTAGCTAAAATCAGTATATAAAGTGTGTTTAGACCAGCCTTCTGATGCAATGTGTGATTTTTCAGCTCAGGAAGGAAAAAAATTAATGAATTGTTTTAATTTGGGGAGGATTTAACTTTTGTAATGGTTTTAAGGTATGTAAAAGCTTGTCTTTATAAAAATATTTTAAACCAAATGTAAGTTTTTAATGTCTACTCAATCTTTTGTGACAAAATTAGCATTTTATTTTATTTTACAATTCAATAAAAATAAATGACAGAATAAATGGGCAACATTATATACTATGTTTTTTACCTTTCTGAATCAAAGAATAATAGAACTCGAAGGAACCTCGTGAGTTCATCATCAACGCCAGTCCCCTGTACTTGTGGCAGGACCAAGCACAATCTAGACCATCCTGGACAGGTGTTTGTCTAACCTGTTTTTAAAAAATTTCAATTTCCAAAAATGTCCACAACCTTCGTAGGCAATTTATTCCAGTGCTTAATCACTCTGAAAAGTAGTTTTTTCCTGCTGTCCAACCTACACTTTCCTTGCTGCAATTTAAGCCCATTGCTTCTTGTCCTGTCATAGAAATTAAAGAGAATAACTTTTTGCTCACTTCTGGATCTTAACATCTAAGTACAATGTAGGAGAACTCTTTAGTTCTGAAGTTGTTCTGACTGGTGAGGGTAGCTGTGGCGAGGTAGAATTACTGACCTTCACATACCCTACCTTACAAATGTTACAGTCAACTAAGCTGAAGGCAAAGATCCCAGAAGAAAAGTCAATTCAAAGTGAGCAGCAAACAAGGTTTTCTTTTCAAAATAGAAAATGGGTAAATCTCCAAATTCTGAAGATATTTGAGCAGGAGAGAGAGTTCTGCAAGAAGATACCTTCAGAGGAACACAATTACAAAGTGATTACTTAATTCTGATAGAGATGCAGCCGTGTTAGTCTGGTGTAGCTGAAACAAAAGACAGAACTATGTAGCATTTTAAAGACTAACAAGATGGTTTATTAGGTGATGTTTAGTAGGTGGGCCAGACCTACTTCCTTAGATCAATATGTGGAAGAAAATCGGCAAAACCATATATACCAAAGTGATACAATAAAAAAAAAAAAGAACGCATGTGAAATTGACAAATTGAAATTTCGTTCATTTTTTTTATTGTATCACTTTGGTATATATGGGTTTGGCTATATGAAACTTTTTAGGGTTATGGAAATTTATATTTCTATTGCTTGGCCTAAATCTATGTGATATAGACTGCCAAATCTCCTTTATTATTATTATTTTTCCAAATACAAAAATATATCAAAAGCAAATCTCTTTGACTTGTTTCTACACATCCAAGAATAATGTTGACGCCTATTTTTCTCATAAGAGAAGGTGGGAGTATATTTTAATTTAATGTAATGGCTAGCAAAGATCTAACTGAAAGCAAAACTAAAACACTCTCTCAAGCTCTGTCTATAACCAAGATGTGCTCTTTAGGCATGCCTATACAACATATCGCTCTTGCTCTCAATAGTTTCTCAATAGTCTATGCAGATCTAAACAATATGATCCTCTCTTGTTCTTGTGAGTTTTGATCATGAGTGAGGGTACATCTACACAGCAAGGGTAAAGTCGAATTAAGCTACGCAACTTCTGCTACATCAATTGCGTAGCTTAAGTCGAAATTGCTTAACTCAGCTTTTAGTGCTATCTACACAGCAGGAAGTCAAAGAAAGAACACTCTTCCTTCAACTTCCCTTACTCCTTGTAAAATGAGGGTTACAGGAGTTGGAGTAAGAAGTCCTCCAGCTTGACATTATTTTGAAATAATGGCTTTTAGTATATACTGTTATTTTGGAATAACGTCAGTTATTCTGAAACAACACAGCTGTTTAGCTGTACCTTGGAAGTGTTAATGTTACACATGAAGCGATTACTTCAGGCTATCTGTAATCTCAGACAGGCATTGCAGCATTCAGTTCACATTAGGGAGGTTTCCTTCACTACCACAAAGGCAAGAGACTTTGGTTTCTTTTCAGTGGAATCTTAGATTCTATAGCATGAGATTGGAGCTACCGGGGAGAAAGATGCCATGAAATGATTTCAACTTCATTAACCAGTCTGCCCGAGAGGTAGGTGATGTGTAGAAGACTGTCCTTTATTGGCAGTCTGCTCCACCAACAAAAGCAGGAACAGTGAAACTGACACTTGTCCATCTGATGGCTCATGGAGCACAGAAGAGTGTGGGGAGAGGAGAAAACAATAGCAACAGGGGACATTGCCAACTAAAAGTGGAGAGGTGTCACAGGGACAGGAAAAGTTGCCAACCTCAAGGTCGCCCTTCTTTTTCTCCCTACAAGAAGCAATTCCTGTTTAGCTAAACTCTTTCAAATGAACAGGAAATGAAGTGAAGGGGTTCTAAATATGCTTCTGGCTTTGTTGCTCATCTAGTTGCAGGGAAATGCACACAAACTGGGCCATAACGGAAAACTGAGAGAACATATAGACAAGTGTATGCTGTTGAGAGAAAAACACTATACCTGTACAAAACAAATGTCAACATTTTAGTCTGAAGTTTATTTAATTACCTTATGATGTTACTGAGTTCATAAAACTAAGAATATGATTTATTATAGAGCGTAAAACAAAGGGCAGAAGTCACACTACTATATTTCATGGTGTATTTCATTTGTTATTATAAAGCAAATTACAAATAAAATCTCTATTTTAAAGAGAAAACTAAAGAGTTTTGAGTTGAACATTAAGGATTAAGGAGACTGACAATGTTAGGGACAGAGTACAAAAAAGGGGAGCACAATGGAACAGAAGATGATTCAGCTCCATAAATTAATGGATGTCTCGAGATCTGGCTGTATCTCAGGACACCTAGAAGCTCAGTGGCTCAATCTAATGCTTCCTTGTGATATCATGTATCTGGAACCATACTGCTATTATTTGCCTCCTTCATGTCTGTGCAGAAGCAACCTTAGGCTATGTCTAGACTGCAGAGCTTTTCCAGGAAACCAGAGGTATCCTGGAAAAGCTCTGCCACATCCAAGGAACGTGTCTGCTTTTTCGGAAGTTTCCAAAAAAGCGGACGTGTTCTTTCGGCATCCCTGTATTCCTCTCGGTGAGAGAAATATGGGATGTTCTGAAAGAGGACTGTTTTCTGAAATTTGGCCATGTGTAGATGGGCTAAATTTCGGAAAAGCCTCTTTCGGAAAAAAAGGGGGAAAGATACGCAGTTTGCATTTTGCATATCTTTTTCCGACTTTTCTCTGCAGTGTAGCCATAGAGAAAGAGCCAGAGAGAGGCAATGTCAATTGAAACAGTATTAACTTCTGAACAGATAGCTGTAGAGTCATGTTCCTCAAAAGTTTACCCTCTCTTTTCCCTCTGTCCAAATTACTATGGAGGTTTGACATCATTTTGAGTACAGGGAAACTCTGCCCAGGTTTCTGAAATTAGCAGTTTCATGTTAGCAGACAGAAGAATATTGCCCTGAGATTAAACTAGTGGTTAGATTATAGAAATATCTGTCCAGTGCTACAGATCAGGAGAAGATAGTGGATCCATAAAAAGGAACAAAGGGGAAGTTTATACAGAATTTTGTTGAACTTAATTCTTGCATTTACTGGAATCTCTAGCTAAATTTGCTTCTCTACACTCATGCAAAACTAACTGAAGTCACTGGGTTTGCATTGTATTAATAGATTTTAGCCTTCTAATTCTGTAAGTAGTCAGTATGTACAACATTAAAGATTTAGTTTACAATCCCAATTTGTAATTAGGTTTCTGTAAATTCTTGTGCTTTAAGGAAATGAGAAATGTGAAGAAGTCAGAGTATGGGAGCAACCATTTTACATGACACATTGTCACAAGGAACTTGTGTAATTTCAGAAAACAAAACCTTATGGGACTTAATGTTCCTCTCAATAGCATTAACTTCTGTTCCATGTCTTCAGTCCCATGTAGGGGAGTAGAAATATGCCTTATGATTAGAGCCGTGCAAATCTGTGGCTATCCGCTTTATTTCCGCTGATATCTGCATCTGTGAATGCAGATATCTGCAGCTCATTTTTGTGGATATGGATGTGGATAGAAATTTTGTATCTAGAATCCTGCAAATTTGCAGATATCCACTTTATATCCATGAGTATCTACATCTGCAGATGTCAATGTGGAAACCCATAGCTAATTTTTAGGGATACAGATGCGGATACAAATTTTGTATCTGCACAAGGCTTTATTTATGACACCATGGCGGTGGAAGAAACTCCACAAAGAAGACAGAGGGATGAAAAGCAACACTCAGATGCAAACCACCATCTCTCTTCCCCAATCTCCCTTAACTAGAAACAGTATTTCTTGTGGAACATTGGGCTGATTGGTCACCACGATTCCTCTCTCCTTCATGCGACTCTAGATCGTCCTCTTGGAGAAAGAATGTTGGATTTCTCATGGATTTTTGTGTTAACCTAGAAGCATCTTTTTCTTTCTTATGAGTTATTCTGTAGGAGGGAAGTGTGTAACCTTTCCCGTCATGCATGCACAAAATTCATTTAGTGAGCATAAAAAAATCTTGATGTTTTGACAGATATGCAACAGTTTGGGCTCTACTTAGATTTCCATCTGTGCACGCAAGTCTTCAGAAACAAAGTTAGGACTATTTCAATCAGATAGGAAACAAAAGAAGAACCTGAATTTTCAGAAACAACCTGAATTTTGTTTTACAATGAGTAATATTCCATATTTGTTCCCTTTCTTATAAAGCTTTCTTGTAGTTATATATATTTCTGCAAGCGTCCAATTTCATAAGGTCTTCCTGGTCTTCCTGAGTTTGGATTGGCCATTGGTTGAGCAACACTCTGAAACCTGTCAAATCTAGAAAATTCTGGTATGCCAGATTTCTGTAAAGAGACATAAGTGGAAATGTAAATAAAGGCAATTTAATATAACATTTCTTACTGTTTCCCCTCTTAAAACAGGCTGTTTATATTTATGTGTCAAATTAAGTTTCACTAAGTACATTTTAAGTAGTAGTTTCTGTATTTGTGAACACCATCCAGAGTTGTCTGGAGATAATTTTGATATAAATTACAAAAGATTTGGATTTTGTGTGCACTGGAGTTCAATCCATGTTATAGCTAATAGATGTATAGTATAATATAAAGGGCTTATCAGTATGAATTAGGACAGCTGTATTATTTATCACTGTAGAGGTCACTAGTAGGTTATCCCCCTCCCAAAAAAAAAGAGGTGTCGATTAAAACTTGCAAACTACATCATGTATTATTAACTATTTTTAGAAATGTTTTAAAGAATAATAAATGAAAAAGGTTTCCTTCGGTACTACGAGTCCTGCTATACAGACAGAAAGAAGGGAAAGAGACAAAATTCAATTTTTAAAGCATCAAAAATGTTACTTAATTATGCTACTATGTATTCTGTGCAAATATTATAAAATTAAGAACTAATATTTAGATATCCTGGAAAATTTCAGGAATTGAAATAAGTGTAGTGTGTCCATGTGTATCCGGTATAATAGGAGGAGGAAGGCACAGCCTTCCCAAACTGCCCATCTGGCCCTGCCTACACTCTGCCCTCAGAAAGCCTACTGAAGGCATTCGGGGCGGGGGGAGGGGAGAGTGGTATTGCTGCCCCCAGCGCCTGCCCTTCTTGTGCTCAAGGGCCTAGGAGGCTGGGGTCACTGCCACTTGCCCTTCCCATGCTACGGGGACACTGGGGAAGCGTGCCACCCTTCACCGACCACCCATGGGTGCATCCCATTGGAAAGCTAAAAACTGCCTTTTCCAATGGTATATGACACCCTTTCTATCCTTTCAAAGCTCTGAGATATTGTGCCTTAAATCTGTAATTAGTCTGAGACTGAATTTTGCCTGTTGTTGACTTTGGGCCAGTGTAATCTTAGGGTGTGTCTAGACTACACGGCTCCGTCGACGGAGCCATGTAAAGTAGTTTACTTGACATATTCAATGAAGAGGCGATTTAAATAATCCCTGCTTCATTAAAATAAAAATTGCCGCCATGCTGTGCCGACAATCAGCTGATCCAACACAGCGCGGCAGTCTAGACGCAGCGCGGTTGACAAGGGAAGCCTTTGTCGACTGCGCCACATCTAGACTGCTGCACTGTGCCAGATCTCCTCTTCATTATTTTAATGAATAGGGAATTATTTCAATCCCCGCTTCATTGACTATGTCGAGTAAACTACTTTACATGGCTCTGTCGACGGAGCCGTGTAGTCTAGACACACCCTTAGAGAGGAAATTCAATACTTGGGGAAAGAAGAAAGCATTTGTCTGACAGTGGTTGGATTTCTTCCTTTTAAGTGTCTTTCTGGAGCTCTTCAAAAGCATGGAATGTTAGATTATATTCTGCTACAACAGGTTATTGGTAAAAACCTACCAAATTCATGATCCATTTTGGTCAATTTCATGGTCATAGGATTTTAAAATTCATGAATTTCATGGTTTCAAATATTTAAATTTGAAATTTCATGGTGGTGTAATTGTAAGAGTCCTGACCCTTGTAATTGTAAGAGTCGTGTAAGACCAAAGCAGACTGCAAAGAGGTTCAAAAAGCAATCAAAAAAGCAAATAGAACAGGGGTGGCCAACCCGTTCCAGATGAAGAGCCACAATCGTAGTGGAGACAACATGAAGAGCCAGGGCAAAGTTGTTGAGCAAAACCCCCCTCCTCCCACCAAAAAAGGACAGGGCCGTGAAGACCTGGGGAAAAGTTTTTGAGCAAAAAACCAAAACAAAATGCCGCACTGGGGGAAAATAGGTGCTCTTCACGCTGTCTCCACTGCTATTGTGGTTCACAAAAAAAGCATTGGGAAGGGGTGAGAGGTGCAAGCTCTAGGAGGGAATTTGGGTGCAGGACAGGGCCGGACGGAGGCATGGGCGAACCAGGCAGCTGCCCAGGGTGCCAACCAATGAGGGGCGCCTGATGGCAGCTGTAAGGGGCGCGTGGTGTCCCTTACAGCTGCCATCAGGAGCCACGTGCCCGGCTCCCGCAGCGCCCTTCCCCCCATGGCTGCGGGGCCCTGCACCGCCCGGCCCACCCAGCAGCAGCGCTGGCCTGGCCAG